AAATCAAAAGGGAGGTTACTTAGGGCATAAAGTGTATCGAAAACCTTCAAACATGGACAGATACCTAACTTCTTCTTCTTCTTCTTCACGTGCCATCTCCGCTACGAAGGTTGGCTATCATCATGGCAATTTTGATCCTGGAGGCTGTTGCTCGGAACAATTGTATGGAAGTGCAAGCAAACCACTCCCTGAGGTTTCTCAACCATGACATTCTTCTCCTACCTATGCTGCGCCTACCTTCAATCTTTCCTTGCATAATTAGTTGTAACAGTTGATATTTATTCCCACGTGTAATATGTCCCAGGTATTGTAGTTTCCTCATTTTAACACTCAATACGACCTCCTTTTGTTTGTTCATCCTGTCTAATACAACTTGGTTAGTTATCTTATCCTTCCAGGAGATTTTTAACATTCTTCGGTACGCCCACATCTCAAATGCCTCCAGCTTACCCATACATTGCTTATTTAGTGTCCACGCCTCCACCCCATATAACAGGACCGAGAAAACATAACATTTAAGCGTTCGTATTTTCAGCTTTAGGCTTAGGTTTCGGCTACACAACATTTGTTTCATATTGTTAAAGGCACTGCGGGCTTTCTCTATTCTTATTCTTATTTCTCTGGTGTATTCGTTTGACTCGTTAATATTTGTTCCGAGGTAATTGTAATTTTGTACTCGTTCAATGAGATTCTGTCCTACATGTAAGTTGATATTATTGATACGTTTCTTTGTAATTATCATGAATTTGGTCTTCTTTGTATTCAGTGACAGACCAAATTCTTCACTTGCTTCTACCACTTTGTTTAGTAATCTCTGTAGGTCGTCAATATTTTCTGCTATGAGCGCGGTATCATCAGCATATCGGATATTGCAAATGGGGTGACCGTTGATCTTTACTCCGGCTTTTTCGTTCATAAGAGCTTTTTTAATAACTTCTTCCGCGTAGACATTGAACAAGGTTGGAGACAATACACAGCCCTGCCGAACACCTCTTTTGATCTGTAGTATATCTGATATCGAGCTGTTAATTCGTACTGTAGCTTCTTGTTTGTAGTATATATTCCTTATCACTCGCATGTCCCTTGTATCAATATTTTTATTTTCCAGTATTTGCATCAGTGGCCTATGTTTTACTATATCAAATGCTTTGTTATAGTCTAGGAAACACACAAATATGTCCTGATTTACGTCTAAGCATCGTTGTGTTAGAACATTAAAAGCAAACAGTGCCTCTCTAGTTCCTAGTCCGTCTCTAAAGCCAAATTGAGAGGGTCCGATGTCAACTTCCAATTTTTTATATATTCTCCGATGAATGATTTTTAAGAGACACATGAGACTGATGGTGCGATGTTCCGATCATTGTCTCGCATTAGACTTTTTGGGTATGGCTATTATTGTTGTTACTAGCCATTCATTAGGTATGATACCAGATTTGTAAATGCTGTTAAATAGTTCCACGATCTTTATTAAGTTGTTGCCTTAACAGATACAGATACCTAAACAGAAACTCAAATCATCATCCAGGCCAAAAACAAGGTATCATCAAAACTCTGGCGGAGAGTTCGAAGAGAATTTGTGAACCACGGCATCTGCAAAGTGAACTTCTTCATATTGAAAAAGCGCTCACCTCTTATGGTTATACCAGAAGAGAAATGCATAAAGCGATTAACAACGTTTCTAAAAGAAAGGACGAAGAAACAACATGTATAGTCAAAGCGTTTTTGCCTGATATATCGGGGGTAACAGACTGAATTGAGCGAATACTTAAAAAAGCCAATGTAAAGACCATTTTTAAGCCAACAAAGAAAATTAAAATTTTACATCTTAAAAATCACTTTTCTCAGTTATGAATACACCAAACTTAAAAAACTTTATATTGCTGAACAGAGGACCAAAATCCCTTTCTAACAAGGTGTCACACGACCTCCTTTATAATTTAAAATTTTCGAGGAGCTGCTTATAATTCAAATGGGGTTCTGGAAGAGGATAATATTTTTATATTGTAAATTGTCAATTTAATAATAAAAATCGACCTATTTCAGGTTTTTCCTGGACCGCATGGTATAATATTTTTGTCTTTGTCTAACTGTCCTTTGCTGAGTTTCCAACCCCAATCAATTGCGATTAACTCTTTTTTTCTATAAAACGAATACGAACAGAAGCGAACCTACGTTAATATTGATTTTAGAAAAAAAAATGAAAGAGATTCAAATTGTGCAAAACATTATTATCTCCATTTTCTTCGTTCTTATTTTTGTTACATTCATGTCGTGAAGGTAATAATAAACAAGATAATTCAATACATATGCTTCATCGACTGTTTTCCCCCTTAACTCATAAAATCGCATTTGCAATAATTTCAGTCCATTTTACCATTTTTGTCGAAAAGTTGAAAATGTCTGAGATATTGAGGAAAAACGGATTTCATTTTAATTCAAGATGGCAGCTAACGCACGCAATACAGGCAATGCTTTTCTATAGGCAATGGTTAAAAAGTTATTCTAATTGTTTATAAGTCAAAAATCGACATGTTTTTACAAAATGATTTTGGAATAATTATTCAAAATTGTTTTTCTTATTTTTTTTAGACTGATAGAATAATTCTTCTTCTTTTAAAAGCTGCCCGTAGAATTATTGTAATTTAATTAATTTCTGACTTATTTTATTGCAAAAAACCATTTACTGCATTTAAAGCACAACAAATCCCAACATTCCATATAATAGGAAGATTCAAAGTTAATTTTTGAAATAGTTAATAACATTTATTATTAAACAAAATTTCTAGCTGATTTTGCAATTTTCTAAGCAGCAAATTTTGAGTACTCCACTGAAACTCCATTGAGTACAACAATCTGCCCATTGGGCATTAAGCATTTGGCATGGTAAAAAGAATGCAGACATGTAGAGAGTTACTCCAGTGAGTAACCTCTTTACAATTCTAAAAATTAAAATTTTATTAGTTTGAATACACTTATTATGTATATAGCAGCAAATAAGAACAGAAACACTTGAAAAACGCCATTCTGAAGGTTTCTTATGTTCAAATTTGTTTCAACTGCTTCACTTTTTGCTCATAAACGAAAAAAGCGAGAATTTATTGTTTTTGACCTTATTTGTTAATAACTAAATAAGTCCAAATATCGACTGGAGGAAACATAATCGGTTCTTGTTATAAAGGTCCATACTATTTAAAACAACTGTCGTTTACCTAGCGAGGTCAGTGTCATAAACATGGTACTTTCTTGGCTTCTATACATATATTCTTGGCTTCTAGACATATATTAGTTCAGTTCCCTGAACTAATATATGTAGATTTGAGTTTAATTTATATCAATTATGGCCCAGGATTGGATAAAAAAAAGGTCGACAAATGTTTTGCATATATCTGAAGCTATCAAGACATAGGTGGGAGTTACTAGGTGACGAATAAATGAAAAAGTACTCCTATTTTTACCTTGCGTTTTTTTTTTAAAGAATTTATGGTCACAATTTAATTTTTTGTCTTAAGTTTTTTCCCTTATATTTTACATAAACAATATTTATATCATTTTTTATATCAAGAATATCTGTATTTTCCCGTTTGTAAATTAAAATTGATAAATAATTTACGGAGATATTTGCAAAAACGCAGTTTTTTGCACTAATTTATAAATGTTATTAAACTTTTTATTAATAAAATAAAATGTTATTAATACATTTGAACATCGAGGAATTACCTTCTTTTAAATTTTTGTGAAATTTCCCCCCGATCGGTCAAATAGTTTAAAACTTATTTAATTTATTTATCCCTGAGGCTAAATATTTTAAACTATTGAGCTTGCTCTAATAATGATGCTAAACAGATTTAGCCAATTTAGAAGTCGCGGTAATGTAAATTTTTTCTACGTGTTTCAATTGGAAGTTCCGAACTCGAAAAAAAAAACGAAGCTGAAATAGTTATCCCCTCCACTTTCATATGTCGATCTTTCGAAAGTCCCTTCGTTTCGATGGGCTGTAAGTTTCGAAAAATTGGATGAATTTTATATCCATAAGTTTCAATATAAAGTTTAGATTTTCATTCAAAATTTGTGCAAATTTTACTTCTGAATGTTTATAAACAATGAGGATACGATTTTTTTAAAAATAGTCCCTATCTTCCTTCCTATTGGGTATAGAAGGTTTTTTTAATGTGAGTTTTTTACCAGCTGTCCAATGGTTGTAGGTACAAGTTTGTAGCTTGGAAAATATAGAAGTTATTACAATTGTTAATAAGTAAAAAACATACCCCTTTTTCAAATGTTTATTTTGCAAATAATTTTTATGAAAACGCAATGTGCATTGAACTTCTGAGATAGTTTAAGTCTTGAAGAATCCTATAAAATTTGCTAAATTTGTCTAGCATCATTAATAGAGCAAGTTCAATAGTTTAAATATTTAGCCTCAGGGATAAATAAATAAATTTTAAACTATTTGACCGATCGGGAGGAAATTTCGTAGAAATTTAAAAGACGGTAATTCCCCAATGTTCAAATGAATTAATAAAATTTTATTTTTTTATCAAAAAAATTAATAAAATCTATAAATTAGTGCAAAAAAACTGCTTTTTTGCAAATGTCTCCGCAAATTATTCATTAATTTTAATTTATAAATCGGGAAAATAAAGACTTATATTATAAAATATTTGACTTATAGGCAAAAAATCAAATTGTGACCATAAATGATTGATAAAAAAAACGCAAGGTAAAAATACGATAACTTTTTCATCTATTCGTCATCTAGTAACCCCCACCTAATTTTGCCGTGAAATCGATAATTTTTGCATAACCAGACTGGGCTATTATTATTTTTGTTTAAATTAGGTTTATCGTTTTTTTTTTGTTTGTCTCGATAAAAATGCTGTGTTGATTTGTGTATCTTCTTATGATTAACAGAACTGGTTTTTCCAAAGAGTAACGTTATTAATCGCAATCTCGTATCATGTTTTTATGTTGGAATTTTATAAACACTATCTGCGAAAACAGATCGACGAAACAGCTCTGGAGTATAAACATAAGCTAAAACTCGCAATCAGCTGCATAATAATATAATCTATTCGGATTGGAATTAATTTAAAATGTATTTCAAACTAATATTTCTAATAGTTATTTGTAGCATTTTTAAAGTAAGCTTACAAGGTGACAAGGAGTTTGTTTCACCAGTGTTACAACCTACCCGAAGAGGGTCAAACTGGTTGTTGTATGCGGGAAAGACATACTACAAAGGAATTGTTTTCAAGGTAAGCAGAAAATACTTCTAGTTTGTTTTTAATTATTTAAATGTCTCGTATTTATTTTGCTTTTGTATTGATGTGTATCTCATAACGGAACAATATTTCGTACTATTTTATTTAGTAGGCATTGATGCAATTAAACTTAAAACCAATGGGCATCAGCTTGATGTAAGGTTATGTATAAGTGCATTTTTCATAAAAGTTATAGTAGGAAAATGTATTTATTACGGCCAATACACTTAAAACAACGGTCATTATCCTCCAGCAGTCCATCAATGGACAAAGGGTACGAAGAATCTACAGGTGAAGATATAAAAATTGGGACATGGTATGTCAGAAGTCTTTTAGTCAATTTATGTGGATGCTAGCGGTATATTTATTAACACTTTGTGTCTGAATATGAGGATACAACTCGAGTTCTAAAATCAGTTCTTTTTTAAGTGTTCTAGTGTGTGAATGTTTCATTTGGTGTGAATTCCGTCTAATAATTTTATTGTTATTTTCTTTCCTCGCCTAATATTATCTAGGTTCATTGCCTTTTCTAATATTGCCTTTTCTAATTGCTTTACGCCAATAATTATCTTTAAAACTTCTTATTACTACGCTATCTCCCTTTCTAAACTGTATTGTTTTTTTTGTGATGTATTGTCATCATGTAATTGTAATTTCTCTTTTTTTTCCACAAATTCTCAAATACTTGTTTCTTTATTGTAGGTTCTAATTTATTAGCTGTAGTTGGTAATTGCCCTCTCAGGATATTGCTCTGTAAAATTTGAGCTGGAGATGCATGAAGATTTACATTGCAGGTATTATTATATTCCTCATCGCTTCTTTTTTTAATTACTTGCTTATATTGACTGCTTTTTCTGTAAGTCCATTAATTTTGTGGTAATGTGGGATGCATGTCATAATTGTAATGTCTTTTCCTTTTTCTCTATAATAATTTATACATTTAGCCGAGGTAAATGGTAGATTATCTGCAATTAAAATTTCTGGATATCCAAATCTACTAAAAGTATCTTGAAATGAGTTTATTACTGAATTGGAGGTTTTATTTTTTAATAGTTAAATGTCCAATTAATGCAAAAAATAGTCTACAATTACTAAATATATCTTTGAACCATACTCTAAAATGTCTGCACCAACTTTAGTGAATTTTAGTCTAGGAATGTCATGAGGCATCATTGGTTTTTTAAAATTATTTTGTCTGTATTTCTCACATACCCTGCATTTTTTTTATATACTTGGTTATATCATCATTAAGTCACGGCCAATAAAATATACTCCTAGCTTTTTATTATAGTTGTAATGTAAACATAGCAAGTAAATAAAGAAGAAATAAAAAAATAAGGGATAGTTAGTCTAGAAAAGAGTAATAATTATTTAAATATTATATATTCCAAATTGAATATAGAACAAAGAGTTCGACATAGTTAACGTATACGTTTCAAATTAAACAAAGAATGAAAATTGGACCTAGTTTAAGTGTATTACAAGAGTCTTGATATCAGGTCGCTACGAATGTTTTAAAATTACGTTTAAAACACAGACCTTCGTTGAAAAATAACACCACCGCATGACCCGATTTTTAGGGTAAAGATAGTAAATCTTAGTTTATGGCATGTGTTACTGGTGTGTTTCAACTCATATGCATAGAGAATAGAAGGTAAAAATACTGTAATTAACATGTAATTAGGTGTACTTGATGTTATCTTTAAATGTTAATCATTTACCTGTAATTTACGTACAGGTAAATGTTTATTTTATTTTTGGTGTTTTTCTAGTAAATAACAATAAATGTTGCTTAGTTTATCTATGTCAGACTTTTATTGATGCAAGATGTGCTAGATTTTATGAAACACATTTCCAAAAAACACACGTTTTGAATGGTTCTTTTCTTTTGCCAAAATACAGGAATCATCGAAATTGAATTCATGTTTCAGAATTAATGCATGTTATGTCAATGCGCATGCATTGATTTTATTGGTTTTTATATCACTACGATGTGATATCACCCTGCTGTGAAAATTACGAGATGATTCTCCTATGTAAATTTTATTACAATTAGTACACGGTATATAATAAACAACATTCGATGACTCCTGTATTGTAAAAGGATCTTTTGTTTTTGTGTAAAGCTTCGACACCGTTTTCACATTTTTGTAATTTTTAAGCCATTAACATTTTTGAAGATGTTCATGAGCTTAGGTGTCAGAACTGGAATGTAGGGTAGCCAACCATAAGTTATTTTAGATGGTAATATTTATGCGTTATGTGTCAATGTCAATTGTCGGATCTCATTGTTATGAAAAATTTTGGTTGACAGAAACTTGCGAAGGAAGAGGAGAACCAAAAATGAGTTTATTTAATAGCCCTATGAGATAAGAATTCTCTTATAGTGTAGATCTCAACTTTTTTAGTCCCTTGTCCCTGAATTTGATGTGTGCCAAGTTGATAACCACGTGCAATGCTGAACGTGAGCCTTCGAGACCACATAACAAACCAACAAATCAGACGAAGATCAGGAGTTCAAGACGTCATCGAAAGAACCACTACGCTTAAGTGGAACTGGGCAGGGCACTTAGCCAGAACACAAGATGGACGGTGGACAAGACGTATTATGGAATGGAGGCCCAGAAATTATAAAAGAAGCCGAGGACGACCACCGACTAGATGGACCGATGACATTAAACGTGTAGCGGGAAACTGGCTACAAGCGGCCCAGTGTAGAGAACACTGGAAAGAATTGAGGGAGGCCTATGTCCAGCAGTGGACGCGATTGGCTGATTGATGATGAAGTTGATAACCCTAGTTTTTAAAACCAAAACCAAATTTGTTTTCATCTTACATGGATGTTGAGAATAAAAGTTTATGAAACGGTTACTAAAACAAGGTTTACGATACTATACCGTCCTTAGCATGCCATCATTGTCACGATGGATTAGCATGTCCAAAAAAGAAATCATATTATCAGCCTCTCTCTCAACCCTAAACTTTAGGTGTTCACATTGGACGTTAAAAGGGTTTAAAACATCAGTTACCTTGTTTTCAGAGGCCGATAAAATCAAATCATCTACATAATGTTTAATAAATGGTATGTGAAAAGGTATCTTTTCTTTACACGTTGTTATAAGTTCATCCAAAACAAAGTTACATAGTATGGGGGATATTTTGCTGTACATTGGATTGCCAAAAATTTGTTTAAAAAATTACCATTAAACAAAAAGATGTTGGAGTCAAATATAAATGTTAACATTCTTATGAAGTCATCTAAATTGATCTTAGTATGCGGAGAGATGTTGTTCCAGTTATTTTAATTGCTGTTAAGAATAGCATCTAGTGGTAAGTTTGTTTTATTTACATAAAAAGGTAAAAGAGTTTACATCGACTACCAAGAGAACGACTTTTCACACCATGCTGAACACGGATGACAAACTGCTAGAATCAACGGAAGATGGGAAAAAATGGGAAAACTATATTAAAATTCTTTTCCACGACATACGAGAAGAATCAAGATTGGAAAATAACAACGAAGGGCCAACAATTCTGCAATCTGAAATTATAAATGCAATTAATTATCTCAAAACAAATAAAAGTCCAGATGGAATATACCCAGAAACGCTCAAATTAATCGGCGAAGTAAATATCGAATTATTAGTCCTTTTATTCAATCGCATTTATGATACAGGTACAATACCCCAAGATTGGCTGGAGTCAATATTCATCCCACTACCAAAAAAGCCAAACCTACAAGACTACAATGAGTTCCGTCTAATAAGCCTTATGAGTCGTGCAGTAAAAGTCCTACTAAAAATCGTACATAATCGTATCTATAGAAAGTGCGAAACAATCATCGGAGACGATCAGTTTGGATTCAGAGCCGACATAGGAACGAGAGAAGCCCTGTTCAGTTTACTAGTTCTCTCCCAAAAATGCTACGACCAACAGAAAGATATATTTATATGCTTTATAGACTTCGAAAAAGCATTTGATAGAGTAAGACACGACCTACTATTAGAACGTTTGCAAGAAGTCGGTTTAGATGGAAAAGACATCAAATTCTTAAAAAACTCGACCTGTGAGCAATTTGGTATGAAAATAAACATTAAAAAAACCAAAGTGATGTCAATCCGAAAAAACCAAAACGTACCTCAACCTTTGACAATAAATGGGCACATCTTAGAACAGGTCAATAAATTTAAGTACCTGGGATGTTGGATCGATAGCAGCCTAAATCCTGATCAAGAAATAAAATCGAGAATAGAACTGGCCAGAAAATCTTTCGAAAAAATAAAAAAACTGCTTTGTGATTCTCGAATAAAACTCGAAATTCGACTACGTTTATCAAAATGCTACGTCTGGTCGACTTTTATATATGCAGTTGAAACGTGGACCCTTAAAACATCAACCGTAAATAAATTGGAGGCCTTTGAAATGTGGATCTACCGGAGAATACTCAAAATTTCATGGACATCGCATACCTCAAACGAAGAAGTGCTGCATAGAATAGGCAAGGAAAGAGAACTAATACAAACTAATCATACACAAAAGTGATAATAATTTAAACAAAAGGTCAGAAATTCAAAATTTAAGCAAAATTTATAATTATATAATTTCTATTTAATTTATATATGCAGTCAGTAAAATATCACATTTTGAATTTTCCATGTATTTGTTACATTTTTTCGGGCATCTATCAATGGTGAATAAATCTTCTTCTTTTTTGTTACTAAACAAAGAAGAATTTTTTAAACAAAATTTTATTTTTGACAATATGTCAAAAATAAAAATTTTTAAGTTAGTATTTATGACATTTAGGCTGGTTGTAGCTATTCTATTCTTGTTTACAAATTCAATTTTTTTTTCTTAAGAAACTTCATCAAAATTTTGCAGAGAAACATTTATTAGAATAAGACATTTTTTTTATTAATATTTTTTGTATTTAATATGTAAGCAGTAGTTTTATATAAAAAACTAATTTTATTTGGTGAGTTAACAAAAAATTTTTTATTTCTAGTTCAACTTTGTAAGACATTTTGTATTTTTTAGAAGCTCTTGATAAAAATTGTAATCACAATTGAAAGCTCGAGTAAAAAATAGTCAACAAATAGCCCCTTTTATTGACTCCAACCCATCAAAAACAGTGTTATATTTTTTCCAAACGAGTCACAAGTACTTCTTTTTTCTATATATATATATATATATATATATATATATATATATATATATATATATATATATATATATATATATATCTATGTGTATATGTGTGTATATAGATATTAAACAAACAAGAAAGAATGATAAAAGGGAATATACACCAATACAACAAAAATCCGACATCCGAGCGGGTAAAATGAGTTTAAAGAAAAAGAAGAATAAAGGAAAAAGAAGGAGAAGGAGAAAAATACTGAGAAACACTGAGACATATTCCAAACAACACAAAAACTGTAATATTGACTTAATTATAAGCGTAATATTAACGTTTTCTCACCCTTCTGAAAAGTTATTTTTTTTAACTATGTTTACAATCTACATCATTACTGAGTATTAAGTAAATATATTACTGGCATTGGGCGTAAAGGAGAGTCATTAAATGATGTCTCAACTTATTCCATTTTGGTTTAATTTCAAAGTAGGTCTTGGGGCCAGGTTCCATGGTGAATGGTACGTTGTGACTTCGTAGTTCGATGGATTTCTGCTCTGATGAAAGGAATCTTTAGGTCGTAGTGTTTGATTACTTACGTACCATGGTGCATCCACTATCGATCTTAGCACTTTAGACTGAAATCTTTGTATAGCCTCATAGATGTAATCCATAGTACCAGATAGGTTTCAGTATGATTTGTATAAAAGAATTTTGTTTTGGATGTTGATTTTTGATTTACATCCAAGGAGCCAATACATTTTCCGAAATTTTAATTCTTCTTTTGATCTGGATATTGTTTCTTCCAATAGAGACTTTGGTCAAGATGGAGGCTAAGGTATCTGGCGTCTGTTACTATTGGTATTCTTACATTGTCCATTCTTACAGGTAGACATGTGTTGTGGCGGTTGGTAAATTATTGCTATTTGAGTTGATTTTGTCCTTCTGAAAAGTTACCAAAAATATTTTGGGCTGGTCTCGTTCTTAAGTACAGGATATGTAAGAATAAGTACCAAATAAAAAAATGATTAAATCTTTTACATTTCAGACTAACTATTTTAAGGCTACTCAATTTTGTCGACAACAAGGCATGCAATTGTTAAGTATAAACAACAATTTGGAAAATGATCGAATACGAACATTTTTAAAGGACACAGGTAAGATATTGTATAATTAATCTTAATCAATTAGAAACGCTTTAAGAATCGTACAATGAAGTAAAAACTTTTGCAAAATGATATAGAATTTTATTATTAAAACTACTTACTAATCAATTGCCATCTACAGTCAGTCATTAAATTTTTAAAATGATAAAATTTTTGCATATTATAAACCAAGTAAATCTAAATTTGGTCCACTTCTAACCTGACCAAAGACCAAATATATATATTAAGAAGTATACATGAAAAAAAAATAAATGAAATAACACAAAAATTAACGAACGACATAACATCAACTACAAAAAAGATCTGTGATAAAAATAAAAATCCCAGAAAAACGAAACTGAAACAAACAACACTTAATTTAATGGAAGAAAGAAGAAGAACATCGAAAGAACTACCAGAGTATAAAGCTATCAATAATAAAGTTAAAAAGAGCATAAGGTCAGACTTGCGGGCTTATAAAACAAAACAAATATTGCAAACCATCGAAAACAATAGAAACATGAGAGTATTGAAATCAAATTTAACTAAAGGAAAATCAAATATAACTAAAATCAAAAATCAACAGGGGAATACGGTGACCGAAAAAACTCAAATAATCAAGGAAATACAAACGTTCTATAAGAATCTTTATACATCTACTATACAGAACCCCGAAACAGACCACAGAACAATTCTAAACGTCGACTCGGAAACCCTCCCTAAAATATCCTCTTCGGAAATTAGACATGCCTTACAGCAAATGAAAAACAAAAAAGCTCCCGGCGAGGATCGTATAACGTCTGAAATGTTAAAAATGGGCGGCAACATCGTTGTAGAAGTTGTGGAAGTCTTACTGAATAAGTGTCTAACAGAAAAAAGAATACCCAGCCTATGGGAAAATGCCGAAATAATACTTTTACACAAGAGAGGAGACACTACTAATATTGAAAACTACAGACCTATAAGTTTGTTGTCACACTTATACAAATTGTTAACAAGAATAATAACCAACCGCATAACACAAAAACTTGATTTATATCAATCGGTTGAACAGGCGGGATTTAGAAAAGGGTTTGGCGCTAATGATCACTTACAAACCATCAGAACACTAGTAGAAAAAACCACAGAATATAATGTACCTTTACATATGGCATTTATCGACTTTCACAAGGCTTTCGATAGTATTGAGACTTGGTCCTTTTTGTCAGCCCTGAAGGATGCTCGAATAGACTCACGGTACACTACACTCATTAGAAACATTTATGAACAGGCCACATTCCACATCAAAATCAATGAAGACGAAAAAACTGAAAAAATGCGCCTTGATAAAGGTATTAGACAAGGTGATACTATTTCACCAAAGCTTTTTACATTAGCATTGAAAAATGTATTCAAACAGCTTGACTGGGAGGAAAAAGGTCTAAACATTGATGGTGTACGTTTGAGTCATTTGAGGTTTGCGAATGACATAGTATTATTTAGTACAGATATCAAGGAACTGGAGCAAATGTTAAAGGAATTAAACCAGCAGTCAAATAAAATAGGTCTCAAAATGAACCTTCAGAAAACAAAAATAATGAGTAATTTACAAACTAATCTTGTTATTGACAACGTCAGTCTTGAAAATGTAGACCACTGTATATATATCTTGGACATACCATTAAAATCGGCAAAGAAAATCAAATAGCCGAAATAAAAAGACGCATACAACTGTGTTGGGGAGCTTTCGGCAAATTAAGCTTTATTTTGAAGAATAAAGATATACCAATGTGTCTAAAACGTAGAGTTTATGACAAATGTATCTTGCCTGTAACTACATATGGACTGGAGACCATGGCCTTCACAAAGAAAACCTTAGAGCAGTTCAGTACAACCCAAAGAGCAATGGAGAGGGCCATGCTAGGGATTAGTTTGAGAGACAGGATTCGAAATAACGTCATTCGTGAAAGAACAAACATTACTCATGTCTCAGAACGTATTGCAAGGCTCAAGTGGCAATGGATCGGACACGTTGCCCGAGATAATCCCGAAAAATGGACACAAAGATTAACAAACTGGAGACCAAGAGAGAACAGGCGAGGAGTAGGCGGACCGCAGAAGAGGTGGACAGACGATATCAAACAAGTCGCGGGCAAGCAGTGGATGAGAATTGCCAAAAGTAGAAATCGATGGAAGCAAATGGAAGTGGCCTATGTCCAGCAGTGGACGAACACAGGCTGAAGAAGAAGAAGAAGATACATGAAAAATGTGTTGAATATAACATACCTATTTACAACTCGTATATCGATTTCAAACAGGCGTTTGATGGAGTAGATCTACAAAAGATGTTAAAGCAACTATCTATGTTAGCGATACCCAATAAGTTGGTTAAACTTATACGAATGACTCTGGAGGGTTCCAAAGCTATGGTGAGAATATATGGAGATATGACGCAGGCCTTTGATATTGAAAATGGAGTTAGACAAGGTGATGCCTTATCAACAACACTTTTTAATCTAACTTTAGAATGTGTTGTTAAAAAACTGGATATAAACGGATGTATTAATACAAAATCAATGCAAATATGCGCATTTGCGGATGATGTTGCCATAATAAGCCGCAACAAAAGGGTATTAAGCGAAAAAGTTATAGAACTGAAACGAGAAGCTGCTACGTTTGGTCATTGATTATAAACCACTACCTAGATAGCTCACCTCGTGGTAACCGAAAGACATATTAAAAACTAGATGGCGTTACTCGAAAACCGTATCGAGATTCTCATTCTCTCTCTGACTTACGAGGAGATAGGAGTGATGTCAGGGCCGAACTTACCCTATAAGTGTATTATCTGTGTGAAGTGTTGTGACAAGTTATAGCGAAATTTTATAAAAAAAAGGACTCACATTTTAGATAAAATGGCCTGTGTAACGCATTAATGTGTATACGCGGGATGTTTTAAGAGAAACGATGGAACAAATAACAATATATCTTTCTTTAAATTTCCCTGAAAGACGTAGAGCGCACAAAAAATTGGCAAAAAAACTGCGGGAGTATTGATATTATATTGATGGATATCAGTGACCTAAAACAGAGGGTAATTTGCCAGCATCATTTTGCAGTGAAACATTTTTATAGCACTTTTATATAAATATGTACGTTTCCTTAAAAAATTCTTCTCGACTTTTAAGAATAAAATGTTTCGATTTGTCAATAATGAAAGTACTTCTTGAGAACAAGAAATAATAAATTTTTTTTTCCTAAAATTTTAACTTTACAATCTTAGTTTGAAAAGAATTAACATTCAAATATACTTATTTACTTTGTTTTGAAATATGACCTAATTAATGATGTTTTAAATTTTATAATCCTGCCCGTTTATCAGCTTTTACCTATTGTTCCTAGGCAGATGGCCCTCATCTATTTATGTATTGGAAATTCCCTGTCATTTTATTAAGATATGTACTTACTTTATTCATTTTTAACGTTGGTAATTTGTGGTATTTTGTTAAAGTCAAAATCGATTGCATTTGGTACTCACCACTACTTGCTTTTAAAACCTCGATGAGGTAATTCCAGAAAGTTCTCAGAAAATTTTTAAATGTAAAAAGTATGCGATCGAACAGTAGATCATAGTGATTTTAGTTCACCTCTATACAATTTCTTAGTTTGCACAGAATACAATTGACTTCTATATTGCCATTTCTAGATAAATTGTCAATTTATTGTAGTACAATGTTACTATTAAAACAAAATTTATATCCTATTCTTGTCGAAGTTCCTTCTCCTATCGAAGGTTGGCCATCACCACAGCTATCCGTACTTTATTGGCGGCTCCCCTGAATAGATCTATTGAGCTGCAACTATACCACTCTCTTAAGTTTCTCAGCCAGGAAATTCTTTTTCTGGATCTTTTACCCTTAATTTTACATTGCATTTTAAGCCTTTCGCACCTTCGGTAATATGACCTAAATATTCCAGCTTTCTTGTGTTGATGTTCTTTATCACCTTGCAATCCTTTTGTAACATTGCAACCTTAACACTTTTGCATTTGTAACTCGTTAGATCCAGGTATTTTCAAAATTCCTCTATAGGACCACATCTCAAATGCTTCCAACTTCTGTATATTGTCTACTTTTAGCGTATATCTTTCCATTCCATGTATCAAAGTCGAAAACACGTAGCATCTTAATGGGCTTATCCTCAGCTCCAGAGGAAGATCTCGATTTTGTTTTGAAGCTATTTTCATGTGGCATTATTGCAATTAACTAGTTTTGATAGGAAATAAGCCACAATTTTACTAAAAAATGATTTTATTAACGTTTCGACGCCCAAATCGGGTGTCGTTGTCAAAATACAAAAATTATTAATGAATTAAACAAAATTGTTGTTGCTTAGTAAAAAAATTCTTCTAATAATTTATTTAATCTGACTCATTGATATTGGCAATTCAGACATATATTATACATTTTAAATTAGAAGACTTTAAAATTATATTGCCAATATTTATGAATTGCGTTCCTGGGACTATATTTATATTCTAGCGCAAGAATTTTACTGTCACCATTGCATGTGGTTGTCTATTTAAAGACATATTACATGTTATGATTTTTTGTGACGGATATTCTTGAGTTGGGGTAGATTTCATGTAATCGAATTATCTATCTTTCAACAAAGTCGTCCCAGGAACGCAACTTATAAATATTGGCAATACATATCATTGCCAACATTTCATTATCTACTTTAAAATGTATAATATATGTCTGAATTGCTGATATAAATGAGTCAGAATAAATAAATTATTATAAGAATTCTTTTTACTAAGCAACATCATTTTTGTTTAATTCATTAATAATTTTTGTATTTTGACAACGACACCCGATTTGGGCGTCGAAACGTTAATAAAATCATTTTTTAGTAAAATTGTGGCTTATTTCCCATCAAAACTAGATAAGATCTCGATTAACAAACATTTTTTTTTTCATTTTTATAAATGCTTGTCTTGCAATTTCAATGCGTGTCCTGATTTCTCAAAT